TACACAAGACCTAGGCACCAAGAATGGACACTCTGGTAACACTGCCAAACATTCAACAAAGAACCTCAATGTTATAACCAGTGTTGTATTTCTTTGCTATCACTTCTGACAACAAATACATGGTGTTGTTAATAACAACCAGCATTCAAATACCAACTGGGTTTCATAAAATTCAATTCTGATACCACTAATTCTTAGTTCACTCCCTACAACTTCTGAGCATTTGTTCAAAAAAGATAACAGGCCATACCATATGGTTGCTCTCTGGTCACCAGTCACCTTCCTGAAGTCATACAGAGGTAGCACCCTCATTAGACTAAATTAAACAGAGCCTGAATGGGGTTTATCAAACACAACTACATATACTCAGAATTCCCTACATGGTGTCCTATGGAAAACTCTTGACAGAAAAGAAGGAGGAGTGAAAAAGAATGGCAAATCTACCAGAAGTGGATTGATATCCAAAATTAGGAGTTTGGTAGGAGGCAGACGACCAAAGTAGGATTGCAGATCATGTTGCAATACAACAGGAAATCAACAGCAAAGGCGTAGTTGGAAAACCTCCAAGAGAGGTTAAATCTCCAACAGAGATTAAAATACACATTTTTAAGTCGCAGATGCATCTCAACAGACATTTAAATACTTCAAAATACATGAAAACTGCTACTACAACCCGTTTCCATACGGTCAGGTCCTACCTACATCTGCAATTAAGTTTTGAACATATGGTCTACACACAGGCCAGGACACCAAAATTATGTCAGAGAGGACAAAAACCTCAAACCCTCCATACATTCCCAATATTTCACCTTCTTCATAAACTTCAAATGCATTTGCATTGCCTTTCCCATGAGTTGGGCAATGTGAAGATAGCTGTAAATTTAGGGATTTGTAATAGCCCTAAAAGACAAGGTGTAGGAGCCCTTGATTTGAGAGCCCATTTTCAAACATTTAGGCAATTCAGGGCAATCACCTCTCCCCTGTGGATATTAGAGGAAGTGAGAACCTCAAAGGACCATAGGTCCTCCCATGCAGGAACTCACAACCTCTGCCTACTGTCTGTTGGGAAATCATGGCACTTGTGTGCAGGGTGCCCTGACAGGGCTCTGGGTCTGGAGCAAGTCACCTGCACACAGAGGACAGGATGCCAGAGTTCACCCATCTGCCATTCCCCCTCTCTATAGGAGTGCAAAGCTGCAGCAATGCTCACAGACTCCAGAGGTGCAGAGGGGAGGCCTGTGGTCTATAGCAACTATTTCTGGATGGTTGTAACCTTCTCATCTTCCCAGGGCTGGGGACACCATTCAAAAACTCACCATTTCAGGCTTCTGTGGTGTTCACCACTCTCCTGGTGCCACCTACAAGTCACAATAGGAGACTGAGTCATGTAGAATTGCTCTCAACAACACAGCATGATTTAGAAAATGGCAGAGCCAGGAAGGCATTTCCTGTGTTAATTAACTTATAAAGTCTCTGATTCATCAGTTCTTACAGTTCCTTCCATCCAATCTGACATGGGCTCCATACCATGAGATCTGAGTTATAGGAAAAGTGCTCCCCTATTTGGCATAGGGCCAGGACCAAATACCAGATTCCAGCCACAGCCCTCAGTAGTCCAGGCCTCCTCCATGGTCCTTACCCAGCCCGGTCTTGATATTCATTATAGTTAAGTAGAACCTGCTCTTCAGACTGGACACTGCTTCTTTCACTGGGAGCTGGGGCCAGGAATATCCTGAGATAATTCCATGCTCATATTTCCAAAGGGATAGACTGTGATCTCAGAGGAGTGGTTCCTAGGCCAGGTTAGGGGAGGACTAGGAGGAAAGTCCTGGTGTTGCAATCTTGTATGTTCCCTGGTAGTAAGACAACCAGATTCTTTGAGTCATGTGAAACATTCCAGACAGAACACATGGATGTATTAAAGAATTTTATATGTGAGTGAGGGAACCCCAGTGTGTACTGTAATCTCTGCCACATGCAGTTGAATAGTAGTGAGCAGGGGACAATTAGATTGAGCTTTGTGTTTCAAGACTTTTCCGGCTATGGTGGGGAAGGGGGTCAGTAATAGAGTTTGAACTCAGAGCCTCATGCTTTCCAGGTAGTTGATCTACCACTGCAATCATTCCATCAGCCCTTTCCTCCATCAGATATTTCAGAGATTTTGTCCCATGAACTAACCACATCCTCCCAATCTCTTCCTCCTGAGTAGCAAGGATAACAGGAGTGATCCACTGGTATGAGGCAAAGACTTTTAAGCACTTGGTAACCTGTGGGAGGGGAAAGACTTGGCTAGTTTCTGATGGCCAATGGTGCATGAGGAGGGATTAGTGTGGTCTCCAGGTCTAGGGTGGTGGCTCAGGCTCAGGCAAGAACATCTGTGCACACTTGCCATCAAAAGGAGCCTTGCTCTTGAAGTCATGGCCAAAGTTAATCAGCATTTAATTCTAAACAATGTCTAGAAACAACCTGTGGAAAACTGACAGTTAAGTCAGGAAGGGCAAAATTATCCCCTTCACTCAAAACCCAACCACATGCAGATGTGAATCCATACTTCCAATGTTCTGACAATGTGCTGGATTCATGGAAATTCAAGGATTTATAGACAGTGCAGAGAAGCATTTCCTGAGGGGACAGGTCATAGACTATAGCCCATGCTTCCCTTGAACCTCAAGGATCCCAAGGGAAACAAGGTCCAAGTAAAGAGAAAGGAGACATGAGGACAGATTGGCAGCACCCCAAACTCTAAAACTGTACAGTCAGGAGCTTCCCACGGCCACCACACTATCAACTCAGTCTGGGAGACATGGGTTTGGGGAAGAACCTCCCAGCAAGGACTGCAAGGTAGAATGAAGCCACATCACAGGACCGAGGGCTCTAACAGGGTTCCCAGCTCATGGCCCAGGCCCATCCTGCAAGCAACAGGAGAGCACAGACCCCAATAGTGAATTCAGGTCACAGACTCTAGAGCAAAAGGGACCACACAGCTACTGGAGCTCAGTAGTCTAAGAACTCTCTACGTAGCAGACAAGAGACAAATATGGCCAGACTGTGATGCAACCATGATAGAAAGTGGACCTCATACCACTAGCCCTCTCACTGGAGGGCTGCTCCAGACAAGCAACAGCCACGCTGAATGGCTCATGGATATAGGGCTGGATCCCCAAGGCCTGAGTGACAGGAAGAGGATCTTCCATTTGACTAAGTGAATTCAAAAATGACAGAATCCAGGGGTAGCCTTTGCCAGAATCAGACTTCCTTCCCTGGAGATCTGTGTCAATCTGTGGGATAACTGCATTCAGCTTATTTTGTCCTGGTCCTCCAGTCCTGGCACCTGCATCTGATCATACTCCTGGGATCTTCTTGCATATTCCTCCTGAAAATGGTAGACAGGTATACTCAAAGAATGCCACACACAATGTCTCATGGAGAAAATTCCTCATGTCAGTTAAGGAGGGGAAACTCAGAAAGGCTAAGACAGAGGAAGTCAATGTAGGGTCAATGTTCATACATTAGATTTTGGAATGAGGTAGATGGTCAGGTATTTCTCACAGCTCATGTTTCAATCTAGTATTTTAAATCAAGGAAATAAAAATACAATACCAAAAACATAAGAGTTATGTCTTGTAGGGGTAAAATGGATTTATATGGCAATTATGTTCCAGAAAAGATTCAGGCGAATGAAAAGGAATATTTACTCCAGCAGTAATAGCATGTTTGTTTTGAAAGAAGGAAAGAGTTAAAACCTCACCCCAAGCCACCTCCCCCCAAAAAAAACCAAAAGTGTGGGTGGAGTGACTCAAGTAGTAGAAAGCCTGCCTATCAAGCATGTGCCCTTGAGTTGAATCCACAGTACTGCCAGTTAAAAAAAGAAAGAAAAAGAATGAAAAGTTACAAGTGGCCACCCTTGAGACCTTGTAGACCTCTTGAGTTGGTGCTGTTCTGATAACTGTGACTTCAATAAGCTCAGGTCCTGTCTCCATCTGAAATTAAATTTTGAACATACTATCCAGACAACTCCAATTATGTCAGAGATTGCAAAAACCTCAAACCTTCAACACCTTCCCAACATCTCCCCTTTGAACCTCATATGCATACGCACAGCCTATGCAGTGAGCTGGGCAATGTGAAGAAAGCTTCAGTTTAGGAATTTATGACAGCCCTATGAAGAATTGGACTGTGGAGTGGGCACTCATGTGACACTGGCCTCTAAACACTTGCTTAATTCAGGGCAGTCACCAATGCCCCAAGAATAAGGAATGAAGCCACAACCTCCCACCAACTGAAGGCTTGGGGAGGCCTAGAGCTCAGTGCTGAGAAGTCCTAATAGGGCCTGGGCCTGGGCCAGGTCACTGCACATAATGGGTGGGATGCAAGAGTTCACCCATCTGAACAGTCCACCTCAGGGCGAGGAAGGAAAAGTGCAAAGCTGCACAAGCAGAGACTCAGACCACACACTGAGGTGCTGTACTTGGGAGGCCCGGGTCTGTATCAACCTTTTCAGGCCCTTTCTAACATCCTCATCCTCCTAGGGTACAGGATGGTATTTGCAAAAAGCATTTCAGGCTTCTTTGGTGAGTTAAGTTCTGCTCACTACCATGGCACACTCATTTTCCCATTGGGACACCCTGCGATCTCATAAAAGTTGTAGTTCTAGGCCAGGCCAGGTAAATATTCACTTGACCAGGAGGAAAGGCCTGATGTTGTCACATTTCAGGAACTGGGATCATACACTTCTCTTCATGGACAAGCATTTCTTACACCTGAAATCTCAACCTAAACTGTACTACCCAAAGTAAGAACATGTGAACAAAGGACCACAGCTAATAAGTACAAGGAGAAAGTGAAGCTTTCTCACCAGAACTGTACAAAGAATACAAGAGTGAAGATTAAAAAAAAAAAACAATTAAAACAAATAAAAACACTCTGGAGGTAGAGGGTGTTCAGTCTCTGGCCTGATAAGAGTATTCTAGCTTTTCGGACCACAGACCTTTGCTGCAAACATGCTCCGCCAGATCGTCAGCCAGGCTAAGAAATCCCCCTCTTCGTGTTTATTGGCGCTGGAGGTACAGGAGCAGCACAGTATATGATGCGTCTGGCATTGTTCAATCCAGATGTCAGTTGGGACAGGAAGAATAACCCAGAACCCTGGAACAAAGTGGGTCCCAATGATCAATACAAGTTCTACTCAGTGAATGTGGACTACAGCAAACTGAAGAAAGAAGGCCCAGACTTCTAAGTCAAATGCCTCACTATAAAGCTGCTTAAAATGAAGGTCTTTCAGAAGCCATCGCACAATTTTCCACAGAAACAGGAAATATTTCTCCTCTGAATGCATGATATCATGTTCATTTGTTGGATTTATTACACTGAATAATAAATCTCTGAAACTTGAAAAAAAAAAAGACCACTCTGGAGTAGTTAGACAAGAGGTCTGTTTGACCCCAAGTTGCCATGAAGACCCACATTCAGAAGGTACAGCATATTCCCAAGCTTCAATACCAGGTTGAGCACTGGACTGGTTCCTCACAGTGCAACAATACCAGGTGCTGCAGCAGGCACACCTAAGGATTTAAGTCTGGGAGCTTCAACATGCCTGCTATCCCCTCTTCCTTACATGGTAATGATGCCCCCTCCTTCAATGATGACCTTAAACAGAGGAGAAAAATCACAGGGAGATACTTTAGCATTCTGATAAAAAGAAACTGACATATTCATAAACTCATTCATGCGCCTGCTTCCACAAGTTTCTTTAAGCTTAATTTCATAGACTCTGTAAAATGATAGTCTGACCCCACCACTTCTATGCATTCCTGCATAAAGGTCCAATCTTGGAATGAATATATTGTCAAACACACCTGCATGTACAGAAAGCATGACACCTTGTTTGTTGTAACTTACTACTTATTGACAAATCATTCCCCATTGCCTCCTACCTGGTGTTGTTTGAACCAATATCATCCAAAGGCAAATAAGTGAGGGGTTTGTCCCTTGCTTGGGACTACTGGAAGGTTTTCAAGCCTATAAGAGTTGGGGCCAAGTATGGTCTTCAGATCATTGGGACAAGCCATCAAGGAAGTTCAAAAGACACTACTCTACTTCTGCTCTTCTGCTCACTGCCATGGTGTTCATGGTTTTGTTCCATCACATGCTCCTCATCCTATGTGCTGCCAGGCTCCATGTCTAAATCCCACAGAAACAGTTCATCATGGATGGGACCTCCATAACTAGGAACCAAAAAACATTAACCCTTATAGCTTCACTACCACAAGAATTTGTTACAGGGTGAAAGCTGACTAATATACTCTCCCAGAACCTGGAATCTGCCTTTTCAAACTTGGTAAGATCAACTTAGAAGTAATTTTCAACACCTTTTTCATTTCATGTGTTATTCACAGCCTCTGAGACATCATCTTGCCTCTTTCCCTGAAGATCTCAAAATTGTCAGCAGTAGCACCTTCTCCTTTGGCTTTTCTATTTTCTGAATAAAAGCCTCCAGGCCCATCAGGTGTAGCCACCATTTTTTCCATTTTCTGGGTCCTGGTAATACCTTGCAAAATCTATTATTCATGTGGAGTTATCATTATCTTCATTTTCCTATATGTCCCTGTCTAGCAAGGTACTTGCTAATAAATGTCCTCCTTCAAATCCAGGAAGACTAAATACCAAGGCTTTTTTTTTTTTTTTCTACCACAAACCCTTTTTTTTAAATAGATTCTGGATAGGACTGAATATACAACCTGCTTGTGTTAGGCCAATTTCTCTTGCTAATAGTAAAATACACCAGTCTCAGAAAGGTATAGAGTTCATATTTTAGTTTTTGTCTTGTTTGGGTTGTGGAATTTTGGTTTGAGCTAATGGCTTGGTGCTTCTAAACCAGGTGCTGTCTTACAGCCCATTTTGTTCTGATTAATTTGAAGATGGGGGCACTTCTTCACCAAGACTACCCTTCAACACAATCTTCACAATCTCAGCTTTGTAAGTAACTAGCCTTTACATATGATCCACAGGTGCCAAGCAAAATTAGTACTTTTGTGAGTATCAAGATCAAGGGCCAATGAGATGTACCAGGTCAAGGGCTTTCTGCTCACCATTTTTTCTTATGTAGTATGGTACAAAGATATTTATTCTGTGAATTTTTCAAATAGGAACATTTATTTATCTTATACATTTATATGGAGTATTCGTGTTTATACAAAAAAATTCTATATTTTTATGTATTTTTCAAAAATTTTTTACATGTATCTATAAAGTTTACATTAATATCTTTCAAAGTGTATGTTATCAGAATAGTTTTATATTTGAAGTATCTATATATAAAGACATGTGCAAACAATTCTATGTAGGAAGAGTTTTTCTGTGACATATGAGTATTTTAAAAGACATGAAAGTAGAAGGGACTATTTGAGGAAAGGAAGAGGATAAGCAGGAGGTGTGTAGAAGAGTGTTTCTGATCAAAGTACACCACATAGATGTATGAAAAGGCCATACTGAACCAGGCACCAATGGCCATTGCCTGTAATCTGAGGTACTTGGGAGGATGAGATGAGGAAAATTGGATCCAGGCCAGTCCAGCTCAAAAAAAAAAAAAACAAAAACAAAAAATGGGAAACACCTGCTCTCAAAAAATAGCCAAACAAACAAGGTCTAGAGGTGTTAATAGTACAGTACCTTCCATGTACGTGCAAAGCCCTGAGATACATTAATTTGCATAATTAATATGTGCTAATAAGATCTCACTGATTTTCATTCCTTTTCTAACAGTACATGAAGAGTTCAATCATTGAATAAGAAAATAAATTGAACAGGTAAATACTTCTTCTATGAGGTGGTATTGCTAGGCAATAAAATCAACCAAAACTGTGCTTTGAGCAATTATGCACAAACAGAAAGACCATGAAACTCTGCCTTTAGTGAGGATAGCACTAAAACCCACTCGTCCTTATTCAAGTATGGATTCCTCAGGCTTGTACTGTCACCCTGCATTTATCAAAGCTGATGATCTGGTTAGAATATTCTGTGTGTGTGTCCTCCTTAAGGAGGTAGTGAAACAGCTTACAGACGACAAAAGCAAAAATTATACAAAGTAACCCTAAAATGGCATGAAAATGTTATTAATCTTACCAGATAAAAGTAAATCTTAGTCATATTTAGAATACTCTAGTGCTGTAAGGCAGCATTAATTTTTTAACTTCAGGGCTGGTAGAGTGGCTCAAGTCGTAGAATGCCTGCCTAGCAAGTGTGAGGTCCTGTTTTCAAACCAGAGTACTACCAAAAATTTTTTTAACTTCAGTAAGAAACAAACATTAAAACCAAATGAATGCATACTATTTCTTAATGAATATTAAGTATACAGAGATGTAAAGTGTGACCATAATAATATCAAATGTGGAGTGGGAAGGAAAAAAAAGTAAATTATCTTTTATTCAACAAAGCTAAGTTTTGTTTGCTAAATTTTGAATAGCCATAATATATTTTATGTAACTGTTTTGTTAACTAGGGAGAAAAAAAAAAATTATATATATATATTGGCAGTACTGGGGTTTAAACTCCTAGCTGCATGCTTGCTAGGCAGGTGTCTATCATGTCAGCAATTCCACCAGGGAAAAAATGATTTCTAACAGAGACACAACAAGAAAAACAAGTGAAACTATGTATCAATAACACATAAAACACAGAGCATGTAAATATGACTGAAGGGAACGATTAGTATCTGTACAAGTCATTAATAAATGTGAAGATGGTGGACTGGACTAGTGCATCAGTGAATTATTAGCACCTCTGAGGCATACAGACAGAAAGATGGTGAAACATAATCTTTCAAATTGGGCAATGAGGGGAAGGCACTATAGGTTCAGTAGTGGACAGCACCCTATACAAAGTATACAATTGAGGATTAGGAGAGAGGGAGAGAAAAAAAAAATAGCCAAAGCTTGTGGCATCTACAGGCTCAGGGAGCAGACTGAAGTAACAGAAAGCAAGAGCCTCACAACATATGCAGTGCAGTTCCATGGAAAATAGACAGAAATACAGGAACCTCATAATATGAACATAATGCACACTGGGAGAAAAAGAGAGCCTCAATGTGTCGCAAAGAGCACAAGCTGAAATGAAAGAAAAATAAGAATCAAGAACCACAATGAACACTGTCAGTATAGAGTCTAAAGACATCTGGACTCCTCATCACATGCTGGCACAAGGAAAGTTCTCTCTTCTTCTAGGCATTCAGCCAAGGTGCAGTGGTGGCAGGCTATATTGATAAGCTCCTGAATCTGGAACTTAGGTCCCTGCGTTGTCCTATCTCTGGGAACTCCCAACAAGGGTCAGTTGCTGATCCAGTGACTGCTGCCATTAGTGGTGATCTAGCTATATGGGAAAGGCCTTAAGTGAGATCAGGGCAGAGCTCCATGTGGTGGGAAACTGGTCAGATAAGCAGGAGACAGAGGAAATCTCTTTCCATTTGGGTCATTGGTGGGGAAACATATTAAGGAAAAATTCTCAAATGTTGCATCAAATTAATGCCTGGTGGAAAATTTTGAAAAACGTATTTGAATTCACTCATAAATCCAACACAGATTTAAATCAAAGAAGAAACACCTTACTGAAGCGGGTGCTGTTTCTCACAAGGTTTTCTCTCTCCTTCTTGGTTATTACTGGAGCTAACTGGGCTTAACTGGGGGAGACTGGAGATTTCAGAAAAGATACAGGATAGACAGACAGACAGTGGGGCCAGGTGTGTTGAGTGCTCAGGTGGAGATGCAAAGCCCTCATTGCTTCTTTTCTGTATCTTGATTCTTTAAGGCTTTACTCCTTGCAGTTCTTTGAAACCTTGCTTAATACCTCTTTCCTAAGGCTTGCACTGTCCCATGTTTGTTCTTAGCTTATATTTAGCTTAATTGGTCCTGAAGTCTTTTTCCCCCATGCTTGCACTGTCCCATCCCTCTTCAGCTCTCTCAAAGCTTTAGTGCTCAAACTCACAAACAGCCAGGCCCAGAACCTGCATGTGAATAACTTAAGTCTTGGTCCTTAGACTCGCACTCTGCACTGTCCCATGTTCTCTTTGGCTTTTCTTTAGCTTAGCTTTCCTAAGGCCTATATATGAAGTTCTTTCTTAGCTTTGCTTTCTAAGGCCTATATTAAAGATCTCACTGCACACTTTCTATCAATTCCTCTTTTTCCATTCTTTTACCTTCAGCAATTTCCCTTGTGTAACTCTTTTCCCTTCAATAATTCTTTCCTCTTCCAAAAGCTTCCCATACCAAAAAGCCCAAAGTAAAAGCCTCTTCC